TCCAACTTCATACCAAGCATGCACATCCATCTGCTTCCGTACTAGGCGTGTATATATCCAACAGATACAGATACTAATGCCGGAAAAAAATTCCCCCCCCCCAGTACCACCAATACCACCAGTCCGATGACTTTCTTTTTTGCAAATATATAGGGTCTAAAGCCAGCAACGAACAACAAAATACCTTTCATCCGTGGACTGCTTGCAGAGGCAAATGCAATGTTCGCGGCTTTCACAGAGACCCACATGAAGGATCACTTGGACAACGAAATATGGATCCCAGGTTACAACCTATACAGATGCGACAGAGTGAACAGGCAAAAGGAGGGGGGTTGGCCTGTATATTACAGAGTCACTTGTTTGCACAGAACGGCTTAATGCCTCAAATGATGTAGTGGAAGTTTTAGCAGTAAAGATCGAGAAGCAAAACCTAGTCATTGTGGTAGTCTACAAGCCTCCGGATGCAACGTCCCAGCAATTCCAGGAACAGCTGTTAAAAATTGACCACTGTCTGGAAAATCTGCCTGCTCCTGCCCCCAACATCTTGCTCCTGGGGGATTTCAACTTAAGGCACCTAAAATGGAGGAATATAGCAAATAATGTTGTTGCAGTGATAACTCCAGGAGGCAGCTCTTACGAGAATTCACACACACACGAGATTTTAAATCTCTGCACAAAATTAAACTTAAACCAGCAAATAATAGAGCCTACTAGACTGGAGAATACACTAGACCTCATCTTCACTAACAATGATGATCTTATAAAAAATGTCACCATATCAAAAACAATATACTCAGATCACAACATAATCGAGGTTCAGACATGTATGCGCGGAGCTCCAGACCGACATAATGAGATTAGTCATGAGGGAGCCATCACCAAATTCAACTTCAATAATAAGAACATAAAGTGGGACCAAATAAACCAAGTCCTAACCGATGTAAGCTGAGAAGATAGACTAAGCAACACAGACCCCAACTTATGCCTAGAACAGATTAACTCGGAGGAGTAGATGTAAAATAGAAAGAGACAGGCGCTCCCTTTACAGGCGACGAAAAAGAATAACAGAGCGGCTAAAATAGGCCAATATATCTGAAATGCATAGGGAGTCACTGATCAGAGAAATAGCAAACATCGAACTTAAGCTAAAGAAATCTTATAGGAGTCAGGAATCGCGGGAAGAACTAAAAGCCATAAATGAAATCGAAAGAAACCCAAAGTATTTCTTTTCCTATGCCAAATCAAAGTCGAGAACAACGTCCAGTACTGGGCCCCTACTTAAACAAGATGGGTCCTACACAGATGACAGCAAGGAAATGAGTGAGCTACTCATGTCCCAATATGACTCAGTTTTTAGCAAGCCGCTAACCAGACTGAGAGTCGAAGATCGAAATGAATTTTTTATGAGAGAGCCACAGAATTTGGTTAACACAAGCCTATCTGATATTATCCTGACGTCAAATGACTTCCAACAGGCGATAAATGACATGCCCATGCACTCTGCCCCAGGGCCAGACTCGTGGAACTCCGTGTTCATCAAGCACTGCAAGAAGCCCCTATCACGAGCTTTTACCATCCTATGGAGAGGGAGCATGGACACGGGGGCCGTCCCACAGCTACTAAAAACAACAGACATAGCCCCACTCCACAAAGGGGGCAGTAAAGCAATAGCAAAGAACTACAGACCGATAGCACTAACATCCCGTACCATAAAAATCTTTGAAAGGGTACTAAGAAGCAAGATCGCCACCCATCTAGAAATCCATCAATTACACAACCCAGGGCAACATGGGTTTAGAGCAGGTCGCTCCTGTCTGTCTCAACTATTGGATCACTACGACAAGGTCCTAGATAAGAACATAAGAACATAAGAAAGAAGGAACACTGCAACAGGCCTACTGACCCATGCGGAGCAGGTCCATGTCCCCATCCCGGATTAGACCAATGACCCACCCCCCGGATTATCCCAATAACCTACCCGTCTGGTCATCCCCACTCAAGGATGGAGCACTGTACTAGACCCAGCAGCACAAGCTAGTCAGGTCCAACTCACACCCACCCACACCCACTCATGTATTTATCTAATCTATTTTTAAAACTACACAACGTTTTAGCCTGAATAACTGTACTCTGGAGTTTGTTCCACTCATCCACAACTAGAAGACAAAAAGAATGCAGATGTAATATATACAGACTTTACAAAAGCCTTCGACAAGTGTGACCATGGCGTAATAGCGCACAAAATGCGCGCTAAAGGAATAACAGGAAAAGTTGGTAGATGGATCTATAATTTCCTCACAAACAGAACACAAAGAGTAGTAGTCAACAGAGTAAAGTCTGAGGCGGCTACGGTGAAAAGCTCTGTTCCACAAGGCACAGTACTCGCTCCCATCTTGTTTCTCATCCTCATATCTGACATAGACAAGGATGTCAGCCACAGCACCGTGTCTTCCTTTGCAGATGACACCCGAATCTGCATGACAGTGTCTTCCATTGCAGACACTGCAAGGCTCCAGGTGGACATCAACCAAATCTTTCAATGGGCTGCAGAAAACAATATGAAGTTCAACGATGAAAAATTTCAATTACTCCGATATGGTAGACAAGAGGAAATCAAAACTTCATCAGAGTACAAAACAAATTCCGGCCACAAAATAGAGCGAAAAACAAACGTCAAAGACCTGGGAGTGATCATGTTGGAAGATCTCAATTGCAGTTGCTAGAAAAATGACAGGATGGATAATGAGAACCTTCAAAACTAGGGCTGCCAAGCCCATGATGACACTCTTCAGGTCGCTTGTTCTATCTAGGCTGGAATATTGCTGCACACTAACAGCACCTTTCAAGGCAGGTGAAATTGCTGACCTAGAAAATGTACAGAGAACCTTCACAGCGCGCATAACGGAGATAAAACACCTCAATTACTGGGAGCGCTTAAAGTTCCTGAACCTGTACTCCCTGGAACGCAGGCGGGAGAGATACATGATTATATACACCTGGAAAATCCTAGAGGGACTAGTACCGAACTTGCACACGAAAATCACTCAAAACGAAAGGAAAAGACTTGGCAGTCGATGCAACATCCCCCCAATGAAAAGCAGGGGTGTCACTAGCACGTTAAGAGACAATACAGTAAGTGTCAGGGGCCCGAGACTGTTCAACTGCCTCCCAGCCTACATAAGGGGGATTACCAACAGACCCCTGGCAGTCTTCAAGCTGGCACTGGACAAGCACCTAAAGTCGGTACCTGACCAGCCGGGCTGTGGCTCGTACGTTGGATTGCGTGCAGCCAGCAGTAACAGCCTGGTTGATCAGGCTCTGATCCACCAGGAGGCCTGGTCACAGACTGGGCCTCGGGGGCGTTGACCCCCGGAACTCTCTCCAGGTAAACTCCAGGTAAACCGTATTATAGAATGAACGAAGATGTGCTGGAAAACGTACAGAAAAGGATGATAAAGTTGATCCCAAGTATCAGAAATGATTCCCGCGAGGGTAGACTGAGAGCCCTGTCTATCCTACGAGGATAGACTAAGGGCTCTGAATCTGCACTCTCTAGAAAGACTTAGATTTAGGGGAGGATATATGATTAAGGTGTTGTATGATTTAGAAAGTCACGTGAGCAAGCACCACGACATATTTATTAGAAAACGTTCCGGTCCTGGGACCTTGATTACTTCTCAAGTGATCAAATAATCAAGGTACCAAGACCGAAAAGTTTCCTAATAAATATGTCGTTGTGTTGCCCACGTATAGGTGTCTAATACGTACACGTGGGCAACAATGGTATACCCCAAGGTTTATACCACTGAGGTGTATAACTGGAAAGCAGGAATAAATAAAGTGGAGAGTAAATAACGTGTTAAAAATATCCAACCAAGACAGCGCTCGCAGCAATGGTTTCGAGTTGGATTTTCGTTTTTTTTAGATTTAGAAAGGATATAGGAAAGCACTGATTTGGTAACAGAGTTGTGGATGAGTGGGACAAACTCCCGAGTACCGTCAGTGAAGAGAAAACTTTTAAAAATAGGTTAGAGAAGTACATAAGTTGATGTGGGTGGGACCTGCCTAGCATGGGCCAGTAGGATTGCAGCAGTGCTTTTTATTTTTTATGTTATGCACATATCCCTCCAGCTCAATACTGAGCGTATATATCCCTCCAGTTCGATAGCGAGCATGTATATCCCTCTAGTTCGATAGCGAGCGTGTATATCCCTCCAGTTCGATAGTGAGCATGTATATCCCTCTAGTTCGATAAAGAGCATGTATATCTCTCCAATTCGATATTGCACTGCGCTGCTGTCATAGCGCACCGCCGCAGCCAGCGCGAGCCGCTGCACTGCGCTGCTGTCACAGCGCACCACCGCAGTCAGCGCGAGCCGCTGCACTGCGCTGGTGTCATAGCGCACCGCCGCAGTCAGCGCGAGCCGCTGCACTGCGCTTGTGTCATAGCGCACCGCCGCAGCCAGCGCGAGCCGCTGCACTGCGCTGCTGTCAGAGGGCACCGCCGCACCGCTCTTCTACAAGGTAAGCACCGAGAATGAAACATCGAGTGTAAAATACTGCAGCAATTAGCTGGAAGGCTCCTCTTGGTCAGACCTGGAGGCTCCTCTTCACGCCACTGCCGGAGCCTCACTTCCTCATCACGCCCCATGAATAAGCATGATGGGCTCCATGAAGCTCGGAGACCGACAGGGACAAGCGGGCAGAGGCGGGAGGACGTCGGAGTATTTCAGCGTGAGAGCCGAAGGGGCGCCATACCACCCAGCACTTGAGCCTGGACGAACTCGTTTACAAGTGTCACTTTCTGCTCTTATAAGTGTGCTTGCTGGACAGTTTGTCATCTCCATAAGTGCAGCTAACCAGCGGCGTAACATTAGAAAGTCAAAGTTATATTTTGTTCATTGCAAGAATTGGTGACGGGAAGGGAAAATCACAGACCCAAAAATTTTTTTGTATAAAAAAAGGAAGAAATATAACCCACGTTGAAATCATGAGCCCGGTTATTGTCTGGTACTTTCGCCCGCAGCGTTTCGTTCACTGGTTATGGTGCAGTGGTTCAGGCACTGTATCCGCCATTCTCTGTCCCTGTCCGTCATGTGAGAAGGAAGGTAGCTGGTTTCTGTCTCTCCTGCAGGTATGTATATGCTCCTGCAAACCTGTTTATGCTCCCGCAGGCGTGCCTTAAGGTCTCTGCCTGGTCTCCCCGACGTAGATTTATCACAACCACCACAGGGTGTGTACTCGCGTAGCGCAGACAATTCTTGATCTACGACTTGTGGTGACCTCTTAGAGTTTTGGCAGCAAGGACTGGTGACGTCAGTCTCCTCACGTACATAAAGGCTGAAAAACCACATACATAAGGGCTGATAAACCATGTGCACAACGGCTGATAAACCACGTACATGAGGACTGATAAACCACGTACATAAGGGCTGATAAACCACGTACATAAGGGCTGATAAACCACGCACATGAGGGCTGATAAACCACGTACATAAAGGCCTATAAATTACGTGCAGGCTGGGCTAATAAACCACGCACTTGAGGGTCTTGAAGAACAGGTTTCCCGAGACTTCTCTGAACTGTAATAAAAATTTAATTTGATGGTTATTTTCTGTAAGAAAATCCATCGTGTCTGATGATTACAGCAAGTAGTGGTTTACTTTTATATTTCCTTTCTTTCTTCGTTCTACCTACTTCCCTTCCTTCCTCTCCCTCTGTGCCTTCGTTCTACCTTCCTTCCTTCCTTCCTTCTTACCTATTCCTCTGTTTGTTCTGCCTTTCTTCCTTTCTTCCTCTCTCCCTCTTCATCTACTCCTTCATTCTACTTTCCTTCCTTCCTCCCTCTTCCTTTGTTCCTTCATTCTACCTCCCTCCCTTCCTTCCTCTTCCTTTGTTCCTTCATTCTACCTCCCTTCCTTCCTTCCTCTTCCTTTGTTTCTTCATTCTAGTTAACTCCCTCTCTCACTTTCTCCTCTGTTCCTCTATCCTTCCTATCTCTTTCCCTCCTAACCTTTTCACTCACTTAAGCTGATTCTCTCTCCTTCCTTCTCAGGCTCCTTCACCTGCCTCTCGCTCTCCTCCCACTGCATGCCTCTTCCCCCTCATACCTACCCTCCCTTTCACTTCCTTGGGCTACATCACACAGGATGGGTTACACAAGGTTTTGAAGCCTTGCAGTCAAGGCTGGAAGACTTCAGGAGGGCAACAAGGATATCATCCACCATTCCTCCATCATTGGTTCGGTAGCTGCTGAGGTCTCAAAGGTTGATCCTCCAGCAGAGTGAAAACAAGGCAGAAGAAAACACGGAAATAAAAGAGCGTAGATAAAGGTCGAGAAAGGGAAGGGGTAAAAAGTAAAGGTGTAAATAAACGCAAGCCTGAACCGGTCAAAAACTAAAGGCATTGTACAACTGGTTGGCTGGGTGATTAGGTTTAAACTCTATCGACTTCACGATGGTTGCTAATGCTGTAAGCCACCTTTTCACTACCAGCCCAATATGCTATCATCACTTATGTAGGAAATGTATGTAAACACAGTGAATATAAACCTCTAGTGGTATATACACAGATACAATCCAGGCACACACAAATTTGTTTATATATATATATATATATATATATATATATATATATATATATATATATATATATATATATATATATATATATATGTCGTGCCGAATATGTAAAACTGGTCAATTAGCAAGAACTTATTTAAAATTAAGTCCTTTCTAAAATTTTCTCTTATGCATTTAAAGATATATATTTTTCATTAATGATAATGTAAAAATTTATAATTTTGTACCAAAAGAATCTTAGAAAACTTACCTAACCTTATTAAAACAAGAACAATTTATTTTAGCCTAACCCAACTAAATATATTTTAGATTTGTTTACAATAATTTAATACTAAACAAACACAGTGAAATATATTTTTTTCGTTACGTTCAGAATGATTTTGGCGAAATTATTGCATACACAAATTTTCACATGTTATATATATATATATATATTATATATATATATATATATATATATATATATATATATATATATATATATATATATATATATATATATATATATATATATATATATATATAGGTAGTAGGCTGGTAGACAGCAACCACCGAGGGAAGTACTACTGTCCTGCCAGGTGACTGTGGAACAGAAACCTGTAACTGTTTTACATGATGGTAGGATTGCTGGTCTCTTTTTTTTGTCTCATAAACACGCAGGATAATAGGTATATCTTGGTACTTCTACTTACACTTAGGTCACACTACACAGGCAAGCACATGCATATATATACATACACATTTCTAAGAGTTCCTTCTTTTTCTTAATAGCTCTTGTTCTTCTTTATTTCCTCTATTGTCCATGGGGAAGTGGAAAACAATCTTTCCTCCATAAGCCATGCGTGTCGTATGAGAAGACTAAAATGCCGGGAGTAATGGGCTAGTAATCCCTTCTCCTGTACACTTTTACTAAAAAGGAGAAGAAAAACTTTATAAAACTGGGAAGCTTGACTGTGCGTGGATGTAGTGCGGATGACAAGAAAGAGATGATTGCTGATGTATTGAATGAAAAGAAGTTGGATGTCCTGGCCCTAAGCAAAACAAAGCTGAAGGGGGTAGGCGAGTTTCAAAGGGGAGAAATAAATGGGATTAAGTCAGGGGTACCTGAGAGAGTTAGAGCTAAGGAAGATGTAGCAATAATGTTGAAACGCCAGTTACAGAAGGAGAAGAGGGAATATAAATGTGTAAATTCAAGGATTATATGGATTAAAATAAAGGTCGGATGCGAAAAGTGGGTCATAATAAGTGTGTATGCACGTGGAGAAGAGAGAAGTGTAGAGGAGAGAGATTTTGGGAGATGTTAAGCGAATGTATAGGAACCTTTGAACCAAGTGAGAGAGTAATTGTGGTAGGGGACCTAAATGCTAAAGTAGGAGAAACATTTAGAGAGGGTGTGGTAATACATATTTTAAGAAAATGAGGATAGGTATACAAGATATGATGTAGGACGTAATGACAGTAGTTTGTTGGACTGCTGAGTAGACTTCATGATATACATGTTTAAAGAAGGGTCACATATACATCAGACCACTTTAATTGTAGCTACAGTGAGAGTAATAGGTAGATGGGATACAAAGAAAATGGAATCAGCAAGTAAGATAAAGGTGAAGGTGTATAAACTAAAATAGGAAGCGGTTATGGTAAGATATAAACAATTATTGGAGGATAGATGGGCTAGTGAGAGTATAGGCAATGGGATCGAAGATGTATGGGGTAGGTTTAAGAATGTAGTGTTAGAGTGTTCAGCAGAAATTTGTGGTTACAGGAAAGTGGGTGCGGGAGGGAAGAAGAGCGATTGGTGGAATGATGATGCTAAGAGAGTAGTAGGAAAGAAAAATTTAGCATATGAGAGGTTTTTACAAAGTAGAAGTGAAGCAAGGAGGGAAGAATATATGGAGAGAAAAAGAGAAGGTAAGAGAGTGGTGAAGCAATGTAAAAAGAGAGCAAACGAGTGGGTGAGACGTTAGTTAGTTTAATATGTTTATTATGCACCCCATACTCATCCTGTGGGCGGTAGTCAAAAGATTACAGAGGTACATAATGGGTCCAGGGACTGGGCCTCAAAGTTTTGATAGCTGAGCAAGTTACAGAGGTAATGAACTCACAATTTACAAAGGTAATGAACTCACAATTTACAAAGGTAATGAACTCCAGGTAGGTCTAGTCACAAACATGACAAGTTACAAAGGTATTTACAGATTACAGAGGTACATAATGGGTCCAGGGACTGGGCCCCAAAGTTTTGATAGCTGAACTAGGTACAAAGGTAATGAACTCACAAGTTACAAAGGTGAGACGTTATCAACAAATTTTGTTGAAAATAAGAAAAAATTTGGAGTGAGATTAATAAGTTGAGGAAGCCTAGGGAACAAATGGATTTGAAAGTTAAAAATAGGAGAGGAGAGTTATTAAATGGAGAGTTAGAGGTATCGGGAAGATGGAGGGAATATTTTGAGGAATTGTTAAATGTTGATGAAGATAGAGAAGCTGTGATTTCGTGTAAAGGGTAAGGAGGAATAACATCTTGTAGGAGTGAGGAAGAACCAGTTGTGAGTGTGGGGGAAGTTCGTGAGGCAGTGGGTAGAATGAAAGGGGGTAAGGCAGCTGGGAGTGATGGGGTAAAGATAGAAATGTTAAAGCAGGTGGGGATATAGTTTTGGAGTGGTGCTTTTATTTAATAAATGTATGGAAAAGGGTAAGGTACCTAGGGATTGGCAGAGAGCATGCATAGTTCCTTTGTATAAAAGCAAAGGGGACAAAAGAGAGTGCAAAAATCAAAGGAGAATAAGTCTGTTGAGTATAATTGGTAAAGTGTATGGTAGAGTTATTATTGAAAGAATTAAGAGTAAGACGGAGAGTAGGATAGCAGATGAACAAGGAAGCTTCAGGAAATGTAGAGGGTGTGTAGACCAAGTGTTTACAGTGAAACATATAGGTGAACAGTATTTAGATAAGGCTAAAGAGGTTTTTGTGGCATTTATGGCTTTGAAAAAGGCGTATGACAGGGTGGATAGGTGGGCAATGTGGCAGATGTTGCAGGTGTATGGTATAGGAAGTAAGTTGCTGAAAGCAGTGAAGAGTTTTTAGGAGGATAGTGAGGCTCAGGTTAGAGTGTGTACCTGGAGTTTACCTGGAGAGAGTTCCGGGGGTCAACGCCCCCGCGGCCAGGCCTCCTGGTGGATCAGAGCCTGATCAACCAGGCTGTTACTGCTGGCTGCACGCAAACCAACGTACGAGCCACAGCCCGGCTGATCAGGAACCGACTTTAGGTGCTTGTCCAGTGCCAGCTTGAAGACTGCCAGGGGTCTGTTGGTAATCCCCCTTATGTATGCTGGGAGGCAGTTGAACAGTCTCGGGCCCCTGACACTTATTGTATGGTCTCTTAACGTGCTAGTGACACCCCTGCTTTTCATTGGGGGGATGTTGCATCGTCTGCCAAGTCTTTTGCTTTCGTAGTGAGTGATTTTCGTGTGCAAGTTCGGTACTAGTCCCTCTAGGATTTTCCAGGTGTATATAATCATGTATCTCTCCCGCCTGCGTTCCAGGGAATACAGGTTCAGGAACCTCAAGCGCTCCCAGTAATTGAGGTGTTTTATCTCCGTTATGCGCGCCGTGAAGGTTCTCTGTACATTTTCTAGGTCAGCAATTTCACCTGCCTTGAAAGGTGCTGTTAGTGTGCAGCAATATTCCAGCCTAGATAGAACAAGTGACCTGAAGAGTGTCATCATGGGCTTGGCATCCCTCGTTTTGAAGGTTCTCATTATCCATCCTGTCATTTTTCTAGCAGATGCGATCGATACAATGTTATGGAGAGAGGGAGATTATTTCCCAGTAAAAGTAGGCCTTAGACAAGGATGTGTGATGTCACCGTTGTTGTTTAATATATTTATACATGGGGTTGTAAGAGAAGTGAATGCGAGGGTCTTGGCAAGAGGTGTGGAGTTAAAAGATAAAGAATCAAACACAAAGTGATGACACAGTGCTTTTGGGAAATTTTGAAGAGTAGTTACAGAGGTTGGTTGATGAATTTGAT